GAGAACTAAAAAAGATGTGTTAAGATTTCTGAAATATCCCTTCAGAAAAGTCAAGGAATTAGATGGATTCARTCTCAAGAAGACAGGTTTAATAACTGCCTCCAAAGAGATGAAGGGCTTTCCCCCCGGGGTCTGGGAGAGCAAGGGTACCACATGCTCTCAGTCTGCACGCAGCAGGCCGGGATATAAGTCAGGCTCCAACAAGGAGAAGTTCCTGACATTAAAGACCTARGGACCTAAGTGAGTAGCTCAGGAATGCTGGAGAGGGTCCTTCTGGGAATTCCTTCATTTGGGGAAGGGTGAAGAAAGAGAGGATGGAGTCAAAACACAGCAAGGCCTGAACTCAGCAAAAAAAAGCAGTCCCTTACTCCCTGACAGATCTATTGTCCCATAGCTTGCCTCTTTTTGACTCTGCCCTGTTCCTGRGTCTGATGAACATGCCCACAGCCAGAAACCTACCCTTGAACTGTTTCCTTGAAYACCTCACCTGCTGCTCCCAAGGTGACTGCCTAGAACTGTGCCCACCCCCTGCCCTCCCTTCTCCGGGGCTTTCAGGCATTCTTGAGCATCTCCTGTATTGAAGGGCACTGTGCCCAGGAACAGTTCTCCTCTGCTTCCTTTTGATTGTGCTACTGGAGATTGAATCAGGGGTGCTCTAACACTGGGCTACATCCCAAGCCCTTTTTAGTTATTAATTTTTTWAAAAAATTTTGATTCACGGTCTCACCAAGTTACTTGGACTMACCTTAAACTTGCGATCCTCCTGCCTCAGACTCCCAAATAGCTGGGATTACAGATGTGTGCCAGCCTGGCTAAGACACTGTTCTTATAGTAACCCTGCCACAGTACCCGTCACAGTGCTATTATCCCCATATTATGGGTGAGAAATCTGAAGCTCTAAGCTAATAAGCACAACAGTCAGGATTTACATCCAGGTTTGATGGACTCCTAAGGCTATGCTCCTTCCCAGAGGGTAGACTGAATGCTGTCTGCCCTGTGCGGCTACAGATAAAATAGGAAGCGGATGAGTCCAGGTCCCTGCTTCTCATCATCTACTTCCACAACACACAGTCCCTCCAGAACTTGATTTAACCATATGATTTGTGGTGCTTATGTTTCAAAATTCTTCAAATTAGTTGCATCCTCTGCATGTTATTGGAGAAACAATTTGGCGAACCAAACATGCCAGTGAGACCTACTGTTACATCTATTGTCAGTTTAGACTCTGAAGAACTCTCCCGGATGAACCCTGTACCAGGATGGAACCCTGCACCGGATGAACCCTGCACCATGAAGGAGAGCCTATAAGTCCTGAGTCAGGCCCTGACCATCTTTCACCTGGAGGCCTATGATCAATAAAAATTGCCATATTATTATAAAGAATAAAAAATCATACACAAGTCGTGCTATAAAAAAGGACAAAACATGAATACACAGCAAGAAACAATCATTTGCATATTTAAGAATTGCTATTTATGTTTCTATTACCTGTGCTAATTACACTTTAATTTAAATATCTGGTGACCCCAGAGCACCATGCTTATGGGATTTTATCTATGATGAAAGCAAAACACTAAGAAGCACCTGAGATAGGGGTTCACACAAGGGCATTCTGGGAGTAGTTTTGCCACTTGGGATAATATAGGTAAAGTTTCTAGGCCTGTACCTGATTGAAAAAGTCCACTTCTCTTWACCCCTATACCTGTAGAAATTAKCCAGCCCTCAGCCATGAGCTCTTGACAAGTGTCTATTCAAATTATACCAAAGGACAAAATCATATGACCAGAAATGACCTTAACTGTCATCTGCCCTGAACTTTTACATCTGGGGTTAGGTTGCCTGGTTTAGCGAAAGCACACACTGGTCACATCCCATTATGGTGAACTGCACAGGACATGCCTGCAGTGGAATTTTATTAGACAGTTAGAAATCACATTATATTCAGCTACAGCGGATGGAGACACCCAAGGCTTTCTAACAGCATGTTAGCAAGAGAAAGAATCTTTTAGCATATCCTAGAAGAAGGGGGTATATTTGCACTGTCTCACCCATACCCATTTCTCTGAGCTCTTTGGAATGTGGGTGTGTTGTGCAGTTTGTGCAATTTCTATGAGTACATTTTTTTCCATTGATGGAGCTGGACCATTGGCCACAGGGGAACCAAAGGATGGCTTGAGACAGAATAAGAGAGAGACAAGACTTCAGCTGTGTCTCATTTCAACTCTCTTTYCACCCTGACCACAGAGCAAAATTAGTATTTTCACTCAAGAAAGGGACTTTGACAAGAACCTGTGTCTACAGTCTATAATTCCAACAGGACCTCTGTGATGACTGTGTTTCCCCCTGGGCCCTTCGCCTGTGATCCAGGTAGGGAATGTCATGGTTTCTCATTCTCTAGGTCCTTGTCTCACCCTCCCAACCCTTCCAGAACCCAAACCACCTCTGGACCAAAAGCCCTCACAATCCCAGCCACAGGGCTGGGAAAACAGGTAGGCACCATAAATACAAAGCCCAACATCATTTTCAAAAAAAGGATTACTGCAAGTCCATCTACTACCCACAGGAAAGACCCTGAGTCCTGGGAACAGCAGGAAAAAAAAAAAAAGAGTGAAAACACATCTTCTTTTCTTCAGAGCACTTTACAGATTCTGGCATGTGTCAGCATTTCTAAAGTAAACTCTATTTTCTTTAGATGAAAGAGATAAAAAAAAAATAGACTCGGAATTTAACCCAGTGAAAATTGTTTTGGCTATTCACAAGCAATAAGCCATAGAAGCAAGAAGTAAAAAAATCCATTGCTTTTGATTTATTTATTCATTCATCGTCCACCTCCTTTCCCTCTAATGTAGAAAAAAAAGAATGCCTTCTACAATTCTGCAAGTCATTAATCTTTTCAAAGAAAAAGAAAATCATCTAAGCCTGCCATGGGTTGTCCAGCATCTTGGAACAGGAAATACACGTTTAATTAAGAATATAAAAGGAAAAAAGAGAATTGATTTTTGCCTATCAAATGTCTCACTGGTTTCTACAATTAGGAGGTCACTATAAAACCTTAAGTCTGGTGAACTTTATCACACATTATGTTACACAGATGTTAAAAGCAGCTACAAGCCTTCACCCTACTAGCTGCTTTGTTTTATTTTATTATTTATTTATTTATTTATTTGGTACCAGGGATTGAACTCAGGAGCACTTGACCACTGAACCACATTCCCAGACCTGTTTTGTATTTTATTTAGAGGCAAGGTGTCACTGAGTTGCTTAGTGCCTCACTTTTGATGAGGCTGGCTTTGAACTCATGATCCTCCTGCCTCAGCCTCTCGAGCTATTGGAATTATAGGCATGTGCCACCATGCCTGGCATATTTATTTTTTAATTTATTGTTGTTGGTGGTTTGCTTGGGTTTTTTTTTGTTTGTTTGTTTGTTTGTTTTTTTGAGACAGGGTCTTGCTGCATTTCCCAGGCTAGCATTGAGATCCTGAGCTCAAGCAATCCTTCTGCCTCAGCCTCCCAAATAACTGGGACTAAAGGTATGAAGCACCTTGCTGGGCTAGATTGCTTTATTTCTTAACCTGGGTGGTAGGCACACTGGTAGTCCTTCTACTTYCCTTCAGGCCCTCTTGGAGGTCTTAGAATTTCATACGAAATATTGTTACATCCTCAAATCTTCTACAACAGATTCTATTCTGGGCTGTTCAGTGCTAAAAGCAAAGAAGGGAAGTTGGAAATGCCAAAATGTAATTGCAATAAAAAGCAGAAAGTGTATGTGCCCAATACCCAAAGGATGTTTAAAGCTTCAAACCTGTGCCACATCATTGAGATTTATTAAGAGGACTAGATTCTAGGTGTCATCCTTAGATATACACAATTATCAAATTATTCTGAACACCTGTTGAAGACTGGGCAACTAATTAGCCAAATGAAACCCATGGGTCGCCACGCTCAAGTGTGATCATTTCACCAGCTACTTTGAATTTGCTTACATACTCTTCCCTCAGCACCAATCCCTCACCTAGAGACTGTGTACGAGGTTGTGATGCCCCAGGATTCTGGGGGAGCTATTGTGAAAGGCCGGAGCTTTCCATCTAGGAGAGCTGATAAGCCATCCTTCCAATTGGAAGACAGCCCCTAGGTTTTTTTTCCACATTGCAAAGAGGAAACGGTTACTGTCTCCCAATCTCTCTGCCGTGTTATTAATACTAATTGTTCTATACCCTGCCCAGAGAAAGCACGACAGGAAAGATGCTCCCCAAACTGAGTTTCAGTCCTAACTCCCATCCTTGTCTAAGCTGAAGTTGGTCAGGATCCCCTTGCTCCTGTCTGAATAAGGTTTAATTTTCTAGCCTTTCCTTCTGCCCTGTTTGCTCAGTCTTCACCATCCCGCACAAACCCTTAAAAGGTATTTAGTGAGCAAAGAAAAAAAAATTGAGAAAGAAGAGGGAGTAAAAAGAAGAGAGACTGAAAGTCCAGCTATCCGAAAAAATCCATACGCTGTCTAATCAGCCAGAAGGAGCAGCTGTTCCCTCACCCCTTATTCCTCTCTAAGAGCAGGGCTTTTGCTAGGTAAAAAAAACAGACAAAACAATCTATAAGTGCTCTAAAGAAGTAAGATCCTGACGTTTAACACCTTATTTGTTTCATTTCTGAATACCGTTAGACCAACTGGTTTTACTTCCTTCTATGGCACACACACAAACCCCACAGAAGCCTCCTGGGAGAGGCTGCCACTCCGCCAAAGCCTGCCTTGCACACTGCTTGCGGAAATGCCTTTTATTGGCCTCATTTGGTAAGTCAGAAATCTTCCCTCTGCTCCACCAGTTAACAGATGGCTGGTCCCTTTTGGTACACAGTCGTAGCATCTTCAAAATACCCATTTCCTTTAAAGTATGCCAATTAGTTAAATATCACTGTGGTATGTCTCAGCCAAAAAAGGGAAGGGAGAGACYTGGAAGACAAGGGTCAATGGAAGAGGACACAGATGAGAAGTCACACTCTCCTACCTTCGCCTGACGACCCTGAGAGATCGATGATCACATATACTCTTCCTTCTGGCTCCAGATCAATCTGCAATTAAGAAGATCACAGTGCAGGTTAGTGCATTTTGTGTGGGCAACTCAAGGGTTCCACGACATTTCCATCCCAAACTGCTGAATCCTACAGTCACAGAGCCAGGCAATTCCTCGGTCCACAATGTGTCCAGTGAATTAGGAATGAAAGAGAATCAACATTGACTGAACCTCTATGGTGTCCCAGATGCAGTACTAAGAAGTCTGCTGCATACTCCAAAGGTAGCATCTTCCGAGTGGTTCTCAACTGGGATGGATTCTGCTCTACAAGGAACACTTAGCAAACATCTGGAGATGTTTTTGATTGTCATGACTGGCAAGAGAATGCTACAACTGGTATCTAAAGGTAGAGGCTAGGGAGGCTGCTCAACACCWAACAGTGCATAGGACAGTCCCCACAAAGAATCATCCAGTCCAACGCTGCACCAGTGCAAAGGTTGAAAAACCCTGTTATATCTCATCTGAGATAAGGAAACCGTGGTCCAGGTTCTAGGTCCCAAGAGGAGTGGCAGTGCTGAGATTCAATGCCAAGACCAGCCAAAGAAACTTGTGTTCTTCATTCTATACCAACTGCTTCCAGGGGAAGTAAGAGAAGCAAAAGGCACCAGTCCTGTACTCAGAGGATTTATATCCTCATCAAGGAGTTAAGAAGCAGAGAACAGTGCTGTACCAGCTCAGTGATGAGGCACGGAGAACTGGTGACAGGCCCAAGGAGCCTAAAACTGGTACAGAAAAGCAGCCTATGAAGTCTTGATGAGCAAGAAAGCCAGGAAGTTCCAGGTGAAGAAACAACATAAACAAAGGCTCGGGAAGGTGTGTGAGGCTTATGCGAGATGCAGGGGACTGCACGCTCAGGCTCAGTGCTGGCTAGACAATATGCTTTGCAAGCCCAGACTTCTACTAAGGTTGTAAAGAGAAAGTCAATACCACTAACCTCTTACCATTGACCTTCTCTCCCTACCCCACCTTATTCCCTCCCTGCCTCAAATCCAGCTAACTAGATAAAATCACACGGTGAGAGAAAAATCAGAGGGCTGGGTCTCTTGAAGTTAAGACATCTGTGCAAGGTCCGCACTCTCCTTACAGAACTGGGCCCTCTATGAGAGAGTAGTACTCTGGAAAGCTTGGATCACCAAGTCCCCTGGCTAGCTGCACACTCCCCCACAATCCCATCTGTCTACACAGAGCTCTAATTGGTTCATAAGTGCCAGGCTCGCTCCCCCCAACAAGCTGTGCATTCTCTGGAGGGCAGGAACCACTATCCCTCCTCTTTTATTTTTTTCCCATTGTCCCCAACAAGGAGCAACTACACATTTAGCAAGCTACTTAGGAAAAGGCAGTCTGGTGGATTCCTCCTCCTCCTTCAAGGTCAAAGTCAATTATCACCTCCTCTCTGAAGCCTTTCCAGATATGCACAGTCAGAATTCATTACCCACAGTACACCAGACATGTCCTAATCATGGCTCCTGTTAAACCAACATAGTGTCCACATAGCATCATCCCTGCTAGTCAGTATAATAGCCATATCTGCACCCTGCGCTCATGGTCTATTGGTCAGGAAATGCACAATACACATTCCTGAACTTAGGAAAAGGTTCTGTGTTTGGGACATCCATAATCTATCCTGGGTCATTCACCCCTCTAAGCCTTCATCCCCAAGGAAGAAGGGAAGCAGAGGTGACTAGACCATGAGCACCACATGTGAGTGCCTATGAGGCAAAGAAACTGAACTTGAACTTGAACCCCCACCAACCTCTCTCACCCTACAAAAAAAAAAAAAAATCCAGGCATCCAGAATCACTTTTAAACCCCACTTCATTGTCAGACTTTGCCTTTAATGGCTGAGAGCATTTAAGGTTTCCCTCGAATTTTCATTCTTTTTAAAAGGGAACTTCCATGTCTCATGAATAAAGCCACTAGTGACAGTTCAGGTGCTCTGTCTGGAGAAGGAATAAGGGAGTGCAGTGAGCAGATCTGTACTGCCTCCAGGTATCCCACTGGATCTGCTTACTGAGTCTCRGATCCAGATGGGAACCAACCAACAAATTAATGATTCCATGAGATAACTTTCCTCATCCCTTCCACCCCAAGAGTCCATGATTCTAAGTTTATGGGTAAAGAAAATGTTCCCCAGAACTCTCACCACTAATACTGGCCCCACCACAAGTCTTACCCAGCCCCTGCGCTGAATTACAAACAGGAAAACCAACCACTGGTCCTTCTGAACAGAGCCAAACCAGAATCCTGTCCCTGCCAAAGTTCAAAACTATCAGGGGCCCTCTTGCCCCCAAAGTATGGAATTTAAATAATGTATGCCTTTCGTAGATTAGATCATCCCTCCCAACCCCGCCAGCAAAATGAAACACTTTCTCATATCCTCCAAGTCAAAGATTTCCCACGATTGTGGCCTTCATGGGCAAAATACAATGCTATCTGGGAAAAGCAGGGAGGAGGACAGCACAGGAACAAGATGGGTGGCGGGGCCTGTCCGGAGGCAGGCAGTGAGCCTATCTTTGCAGAAGGGGAGTGAGAACTTGTGGCTGGGAGGACCAGTCATTGACAATCAAACGTATTAGGATATTAACGTTCAAGATAGCAATCAGAAACCATTCGAGCGCCCTACTGCTGCCTTGGGGCTGGTGAACTGCATTTCCCGACAGAAAAATAGAAATTAAGCTATTAAACATGCCAAAAGCAACAAAGAGCTTTGCAGCCTGGGCAGATAGCCGCTGAGTGCTGGCCAAACCCCAGCCAGCCAAGTGGGGAGGCTCTGAAAATCCATCTAGGGAGGCGGGACCTCCATGGCAATGACTGGAGGGGTCGCTGAGCACAAGGCAACTTGGTTTCATCACAAATTCTACTCATGATCATGTGGCCTGGATAAATAAAGCAATGTAGGTGCCCAGCCCTGCACAATCCTGAAAGCCGTCAATGGGCAACAGTGCCCAGCACTGGCAATACATAAAAGCAGACCCGCCACCTCCTCCAGCCCTTCCCAGGGTTAGTTCTGAACCCGCTCTGTACTCCGGGTTCCTCCCAGTTGTTCYAGCGCAGCCCTATTCATCAAATCTTTTGAGACCTGGTACCTTTCCTTGACAGTCTTCCAAGTTACCATCTCTGTTTTCTTTGACAATGATCTTATTTCAAGCTACAGTGCCTTTGGCTATCCCTCCATCCAGGGCCAGAAGCCAGGCAGGCAAACASGAGGAGACAAACACAGCCTTTGGCATCAGACCAGAGTTGAAGCCCAGTGTTGTCCCTTCTGAGTGTCCCACTGAGTGGCCTCTACCAGCCTCAGCTTGTTCATCTGCAAAATGGATCATGTGAGAAAGTGTGCAGAGCACTCAGCATGCAAACGTTAGAGTGCGTGCGGTGGGAGAAAGTAGACTTGGTGGGTGGCCTGAAGTGAGCAAGTACCCTCTGTACTCAGACTGCCGTTCTGTGATGTGGAGCTAGTAACAAGTCCCATGTCATTTGGGCTATTGTGAGGGTCAATGAGATCACACAGYAAAAGAGTCATGACCGCTGCCTTTGTTATTCAAAGGCCCAGMCTGCAAATATTGGGCTTCTCAGTCCAGTGTTCTTTCTACTACAACCAACTTGYCCCTAACAAAAAAGGCTATTTTCTCGCCCCAAGTTGATATCATGACATATTCTTCCAGGACATCTCGTGACTCTACAGATATGTTGAGAATATCAAATACAGTACCAAGGTTAGAGTCGTGGGGCGTACCTGACTATGTTCAAAGCCCTTCGAATACCTTCGTTCATTTATTCCAGACAATTAACCTATAAGGCAACAGAGGTGTTCTTAGCGTCATCCTTCGTATGAGAAAACTGAGATGAAGGAAGGTAATTGGCAACTCTGTTCCACAGTGTGCCATGAGGGGCACACCAGCTGCAAAAGTTCAGGCAGCATCTCGCACACCCTGTTTCTGGGAATGTGTCCCCCGGAGCTGCGCAGCCTGGAGGTAATGGGCAGGGTCTAAACCCACACCCTCAGCTCCTGGCTGTTTCTCCCAGCACACCACACCTGCTGGGCGGGAACTCTGCCAACAGGGAGCAAAATCAGAAGGCCTCGCCTGCCCAGGAGCCCTGGGCTGCCTGCTCAGTGCAACASTCAGTCCCAAGTGATCCACAGGTGTCTGCATGCCTGGGTTTCAGGGGTCATTGGGTTCAAGGGAAGAGAGGCCAGAAACTCAAAGTCAAGCTTCCTCCTAACCACAAGCTCAACTTTCACCTGAAACCACGAAGCAAATCTTTCCCCGGGACAGACCACGGGGTCACACGCACCCAATTTGAGTTTTGCTTCCCTCTCCAGCTGTCCTCAGGCAGGAAGCTTGGAGACACGCAAAGTCGCATCAGAAAAAGAGACTCCAGAAAGGAGAAGAAGGAGACAGAGAGCTTTGCACTGGCCTTGTTCCACTGTTGAGGTCCCGGATCTTTGAATGTTTGTTTCTTTTTCTTTTTCACTTGGAGGAGGGCGGGGAGTGAAGGAGGAGGTGGAAAAGGAGCCATCAAAAGAGACTAAGGGATTCTTTCCCAGAGCAGAGGACCCACGGCCCAAGTCCTGCACCCCTTTCACTGCTCCCACACATTGGGCATACTGCAAACCCAAGACAGCCTGGCACAGCAGAGGTGAGCCAGCAGAGCGTGGGACATCACACAGCAAGCATAGAGGCCCAAAATGTGGCAGTGTTTAAGCTGCTGGTGGTGCTGATTTTTAAATTAGCAGCTGATTTAATAAAAGACTCTTCATTTGGGGAAGAATTTGCTACTTCATTAGTAGAGCRCACTGACCGGTCAAAAGGCAGAGGGTAAACATGTAATGCAACACTTTTAGGGTTCCACTCTGATAACAGGCTTGAAATGGACTACTTTTCATAAAATAAAGCAAGGAAGAGGACTATTTCTTTCTCAGACCCCTTTCGCTGCAGGGCCAAGACATTATACGTGTTAGTGTATATCCCGGCAGGGCAGGACCTGTTTGTCAGCACA